ACTCGTGCATATAGCTTTACATTTCCTTTATGTTTTTATATTTCTTTTATTTATTTAACAATAATAGTACAAGATGAAAAACCTTTCATAAATGGTTGAAGGATTTTCTCTTAATCTTGAAGGAAAAATAAACTTGAATACATACTTGAAGAGAAAAGTTTGGGAAACTGTGAGGATTTTTCTATAGAGAAGAAATGGGTTTTCTTTGTCAATGAAGAGTAAAAAATATTTGGAGAGCAAAAAAATTTTGAAATATTTGTTAATTTAAATATAAAGGTAAAATTAAAAATTCATTATTTAAAAATTACGATAAATTATTTAATTCTATGGATTGAAAACAATCCTCTACCTTTTTAAAAGATAGAGTTATCCTATTAGTATAGGATATCTAATCCTTTCAATAATCTAATTCTTTTATTTAAGTGCATAATAAACATATGATAGAATAATTAGTACTATCCTTTAACTAATTCTATGCACTAAACGTAGCCTAAGAGTAATTTATAATATTAACTCCTATCTTTATATGATATGGTCCACATGATGAAGCCACCTAATGATGAAAAAAACTTGAAAAATATTCCTTTTTACTATCCTTAGTAAAGGTTTATGAATCACTTATCTTTAACATTACATATAAAATATCAATCTTATTAAAATTTTATTGATGCTTATAGTGAATTATAGTCTCCCAACTTAACAATATATATATATATATATATATATTAAAAGAAATAAGAGAAATAGGTCCATTCATAATGGGTGGCCCAAGCCCTATGAATGAAACAATTGCCATTGAGCAGTTTATTTTTTTGAATAAAAACCTGCCGTGGGTAGTTAATGATTTAAGTTTTTAAACCAAAGAATTGTTGCCCCTAATCTCTAGAATGGTGTGAATGGCATTCAACCATTAGTGAATATGGGTGAAAAGAGTTACAAAAGCACAAAAATAAAAAATAAAAAAAAGAGAAAGAAAGGAAAATAATTGGTATGCATTCAATATAACAACTCACAAGAAAAAAAATTCTTGCATTCAATATGAAACCCAAGCAACTAATATGTATGTGTGTGTGTGTGTATATACACATATACACACACATATATCAATATAAAATCATTCTATTTAGTTATGCTTCCATTTTCATGTAAAGTTGTAGATTAAGGTCTAAGCTAATATAAATAAAAATGTTATACCTATTTTTTTTCTTTCTTGTTAAAAGTTATATAAATATAAAATTAATTTATTTTACACTTTTATAATTTCAAGTATAATTAATACTTTTACAAATTTATCATCTAACCATCTAACCTAAAACAATTATATGAAAGTTGTATACAAGACTTAATAAGTTAACAACTATTGTTAGGAAAATTTTGAGATGATAAAGGCATTTTAGGTATTATATAATGAGATGAGAAATGTATTAAGAAAGACAAAAGGGAAAATCTAAATGCACCCTTGTTTTTTCTCTATACATCCCACTTTTTTTTTAATTTTTTGTAGGTAAAATTATTTAAATACGCTTCTCACAAGTGTTTGGATATTCATATATGATAAATTTTATGATTTTCCAAAAATGTATTTTTGAAAGTATTATGACTTTATGAAAATGGATTGCCGAAAAGTCATAACATTCATTTCCGAAAAGTCATAGCACTTCTTGAAAATACAAATTTGAAAAGTTATAATACTTCTCGAAAATGAATTTTTGAATGGAAGAATTAAAGTTTTTGAAAATTAAAAAAAAAGAATTTGTTAAAATTTTTATAAACTAGTGTAATAAAAAAATTATTATTAAAAAAATCATAAATTTTAACATTAATATATAAAATTTATTTTATTATTTTGATCTTAAAGAAAGAATAAAATTTTATAAGGACCTAATTGAATATTTCCACTTTTAATGTTGCGAAGGTTGGTGAAAGAACTTTCAGGTTTAATTAACATATTAGAGTTAAAAACTGCTTAAAACTATATAAATAATATCACTAAATACTATATAATTTATCAAAATTTAATATACTAATTGAAAAAATTCATCGTGATAAGTAGATAAAAAGATTTTTTCAAAAAGTTCAGTTTAGTTAGAGCTACTATAAAATTTTAATAATCGATATAAAAAATATTTGTTAAAAATGATAAATTTTAAATTTATAAAAAATTATATTTACAATTTTATCTTTAATTTAATTAGGGCCTCATAAGATAAAATCAAATTAATAAATGTAAAGTTTTTTATTAATTTTAAAATTTATTTTTTAATAATAATTTTTTTCTTTATACTAATTCATAAAAATTTTAACAAAATTATCTTTTTTTTGTAATTTTTTAATAACTTTCAATCCTTCCATTCTCAAAAATGCATTTCGAAAAGTATTATAACTTCTTGAAAATGCATTTCACACTTCTTGGAAATATATTTTCGAAAAGTGTTATCACATTTCGGCAATCTATTTTCGTAAAATCATAATATTTCTCAAAATATATTTTGAAAAGTTATAAAATTTATGGAATATAAATATCTGAAAATTTGTAAAAAAGATATTTAAATAATTTTACTCGCAAAAAATAAAAAAAAAAGATAGAGTGTAGAGAAAAAAAAGTAGGGTGCATTTAGTCACTCCCAAAACAAAATATGAAAAGAAAGAGAAATCTAACCATTAAATGAAAGGAGTTATGTATATATATATATATATATATATATATTAATTTTAAAGTGACTTGTTAAAAATAATGAAATTTTTTATGTTTATATTTTTTAAGATATTGAAATTATTTTTTGATGATGATAAAGCATTTCATGATAATACATGTAACACAAGACTTTTGTTTAATTGTCTTGCTTATTTTAAAAAAATTACATCTAGATTAAATGGGTTGTTAAAACAGTTTTTTTTTTTTTTTTAAATTACCCTACTCATTTATTAGATTATATAAATTCCTAAAACAAATATTTTTTAAACTATCTTGCTCAATTAAAAAATTACATCTAAATTTATATAGGTCACAAAGTGAACGGCAAGTCTCTGTTGTGGTTAGATATAACAATCAACTTATATTTGTCATAAATATAAACTTTCAGATCAATCCGATATGCCTACTATTTTCATAAAACATAATATATTTTAATATATATTGACGTTTTAAATTTTATTATTTTTAAACAAATAGTTAAGTATTTTCAATTAACTTGAAATTTGATATCAATGATTTACGTAAATATAATATAAAATTCAACAGCTAGATTAACATATTATTAAAGGAAAAACATATACAACAATACAAATGACTATCTTATTAGGTCACATTTGTCAAATTATTCAAAATAAATCATAGTTCATACATATTTTAAAGTTTAAACCTTTTATATCAAATTAAAAATAAAAACACCACTATTGAAGCACACTTTTTATTAAAATTTTTCCATTTTTAATCATTAATATAAGGATAATAAAAATTTGTTTGATTAATACTTTAATTGTAAAAAATAAATAAATAATTCAAATCAAAAGCATATACTAAATAAAATTCAAAGTAATAATAATTCATATCTCACTATTGATTTCAAACCCAAATGAAATGAAAAATATTATGATAGGATAGCGATCAATGCAAAATATAATCAAATCATAAAAGGCCTAACTTTATTAAAACAAATTTAAGATAACGATTGTGATCCTTAGCCAATGTTTAAGGTTCATATATTTTCTACTTCTTGAATTTTTTCAAAGGAACAAAATGTTACATAAAAAATTTATTTAAAAAGTGTAATTATTGTTTTCAACATTCAATAATTATAAAATGAAATTTTGAACAACTTCAAAAAACTCTTACAATTAAATTTTCTTTTTCAAATGCTTATGACGAGAGAAAGGTTTTTCTATTGCAAAGTTCAGATAAATTGTATACTTTAGAAATAAATTATGTTCATAAAAATTATTAATGAGACTCGAATATAAAATTTATGAACGAAATATTTAAATATTATCAACTTAATCAATTATAGTCAAAATTTTTTTTAAACAAATGAAAACACGAAGTTATCAAGTTTAAGGATATTAATTTTATTCATATTCGTTAGAAAATTCATTTTTTTATCTAAATAGAATAAGGATGATGATAGCTATTAAATTTTAGGATGGAAATGAACATGATTTTAAATTTTTTTTATCAAGTATATGGATGAGAATAGATAATATAACATCTGTTCTGTATCTATACTCGTATATTATATTTATATATATTTAGTAAATGTATTTTTTATTAAATAATATAAGATTTTATTTTAGTTTAATTAGAATTAATACATTTCTACTCAATATATATTAATATAATTTTATAAAAAATTAGTATAAAATAAAATTTTAAAATTTTAAATAAAAATAAAATTTAAGTTTTTTTAAACTATGAGTATATGAATTATCCGTAACCATTAAATATATATAAAAATAAATAAATAAATAAATTTAAAATACTCGTTGAATATAAATATATATATATAATATAAAAATTTAGAGATGAGAATAAAAAATATTTTACTTACTTCATACATTATCTGTTGACATTTTTAAGATTTAAATTATAATTTTTTGACTAAAATATTAAAAAAATCCCTGAACTATTTCATTTTTCTTAAATAAGTTATTATATTATTATTATATTTAAATAAAACTCTTAATTTTGATTTGTATTTAAATAATCTCTTATTTCAAATAAAAAAATAATTTATATTAAAAATTTATTTATATACAAATTAAAAGTTTAAGATTTATTTATATACAAATTAAAAATAAAAATTTATTTAGATGCAAATCAAATATTAAAGATTTATTTAAATGTAAAATATAAGACTTATTTAAATAAAATTATAAAATTCAAGACTTTTTTTTATTATTTTAACTCTCCTTTTTCTTTTTTCCAACTTTTTTTTAGAAATAATTTTCAACCCTTTATTAAAATAGAAGAAGAAAAACTTAAAAAAAAAAAAGGAAAGTCTAAAACGAAATCGTGTCATCGTGGCACAATTGGCCTCTATATAATTTCCTCCTCGCCTCCTTTGTTTTCTTTCTTTTCCTCGTGGCACCCACATTTTCTCTGCTTTTCTTCTTCCGAGGGATTCCTTCTGGTAAATCTAGAATTCAAATCCTCTTCTTCTTCTTTCAAGTACGATTAATTATATATTTTTCACGAAATTTCATTTGTTTTGTATAAATCTGGTTTCTTCTTTTTTCTTTCTATTTTTTTCCGTTGGAAAAATAATTCTGTTTTTTAGTCAAAGTTCAAAGCGTTTCTAAGACAGATCTGATAAGTTTTTGGCTGTAACAGTTGAATTTCCCATCTGGGTATTTCATTTTAATTCTTATGTCTTAATTAATCCCTTAGATTTCTAATTAATCGCTAGAGTTTCCGGTGTTCTTTTGAAATCTCTTCTTAATCATATAAACCCTGGATTTTACTACAGTTAACCCCAAATAAACCTGTGATTTTGAAGGTCTGGATCTAGATCTGTGTTTTGCTTTTGAGGATAAAAACAAAAACTCTGGGTTGGTTTCTTTGTCGTTATTTTCTAATTGAATATCTGTTGTTAGATCTGGGTGTTGACATTTTTTTTTTTTTGGTTATTCCAATAGGCGTTCATTACGAAGCTGTGGTTTTTTTGGGAAGATGAATCACTGCAATCTTCAGCAGAACGCCGCCGCGTCGGCTTATGAGGAATTGAGAGGGTTGATCTCAATCTCTGATCATCAAAAGGGCGGCCCTGTTGTTTGCCCTAAGCCTCGGCGAATTGGGGTTCTCGCCAATAACCCCATCAAGCCCTTGAGATTGCATATGAGGTATAATTTTTTTTCTTGTCTCTATTTTGGTTTTTGGTTGATTTGATTTGTTTTAAGTGGTTGCGATTTAATTGAGTATTATGTTTTTCATTGCAGCCATCAGGTCGAGGTAAGCGATTTGAAAGCCGGTGCAGAGCTTCTAGATTTCATCCTCAAGAAGGTATTGTTGAATCTGAAACATGTTTTTTTTTAATGTTTTTTCTTGTTTATTTGTTAAATGATGAGTTTTTTATTTTTTATTTTTGGTAAAATACTCATGTCGGACACATAAAGGAGATCCCAAAGTGGAGAGGCTATGATTCTCTAAACATAAGAAAAATTTTCCGGACAAAATCGAACTTAACCATGTCGGACAAGTAACCAAGAGAAATTTAGGAAAAAGTGAACATACTAATGTTGTGTCCAAGTATTAGCAATATGGGTTAATGTTGTTTCTATGATGGACTTGTTTTAGTTTATTCTTTGTGTTGGTTACTAATATTTGTTTTGGTTGTTCAGCAGGAGGATTTGGGGACAGAACAATCTGCAACACAGGAAGCATCATCACCCCCATATTTTTGTGGGTCGCCTCCCAGTAGGGCTGCGAATCCACTTGTGCAAGATGCTCGATTTGGTGATGAAAGACTTGCAGCCCTTTCAACATTGCAAATACCATCACCATCATCTGCATCATCATCAGCACGTAAAGCAGGGTGTGTTAGGATGAAGTTTGGCCTTAAACCAGCCACAGTTAGAGTAGAAGGATTTGATTGCCTTAACAGGGATCGCCAGAATTCCAGCATCTCTGCTATGGCTTAGAAGTTAAATTAAAATCGAAGTGTACATAGAATGAAGCTAAATGCTACCACCATTTCAGAAACCAAAGCAGGATTAACAAGGAGGGAGTTTTGGATATTTTTGGACAAGAGTAGTGTTGTGTATATGATGTGTTTTTTGGTCAGGTAAATATATTTGATTGCTAATAGCGCTGTAAGTAGTTTGATTGAAGGGATGGCAAGTAGAAAGGTTTGAATTATGCTGAGATTTCGTAGTATATAAGATTCGGGTTAGTATCCGAAGAGGATCAATCCACATTTGTTTTTGAAGATCACCATGGAAAAAAATCTGTATAGATCCTGTTGGTGATCTGAATTGCAGCTACATTACTCTGTAAATGTATGTTGGTAATTGTCAAATTTCCTTGTTTTTATGAATGTTACTGTCATATTTATGTTTATTATCGCGTTCTTGATTCTCATGCTTTCTGTTTATGGTTGTATTGGGAAAACAAACCCTGAAGCATGTTACTAGCTGTCCACCATTACAGTGACAGTGCTGGATTGGGAGATGTTGAAATGATTTCTGTCTTCCTTTTTATTTAAAAGAAGACATGTTTTGCTTTCAGCTACAAATATATGTCTGCTAATGTTCACGACCCAGACAACATCGTGGCCTACTGATGAATCAGAATGATGATTGCCTTTAGACACAACCAGATAGGATTTTAACCTTTTTTTTTTTTTCCTTGTCTGTTCCAAAAGGTCACCAAATTAAAACAAAGGGGTAAATTTTATTAAACTTTTCAGTTTTGAGGATAATTTGGCCCAAATTCATTAGTTTGAAAGACACATAATTCACTCCAAACATCTTAACTTTGTTATCAGGTGCCTCGCAAACCTAAATTTTTTGCATTTATATATTATTCTATATATCTGTTAACAAAAATTATTTGTATTTAAATATTATAATTCTTTAACTTGGAATTAACCTTTGTGTGGGTATGTCGAAACTCTTTTAAGTCATATATGGTGCATAAAATGATAATAAGATAAAATGATAATTATTTTTTATCATTTTTTATTTATATCAAAAGAAATAGATATAATTACAAAAAAAATTAATCATTATTTTGGTATAAGATAATTTAATTTTTCTAAAGTAAAGAGGATTATTTTTAATTAATGAGATTAAATTTATATGTTATATTATATTTTTAAAAATTAGATTAATAATTTAAATTATATAAAATTTGAGAAAGAATAATATTAATCAATAAATAAAATTATCTTATTATAATTTTAACTCACATCAAATACAAAATAAACTAATATTATTTAATTTAATTATATTTTTAATATAATCTTATTTTATCTTATTATAATTTTATATATTAAACGCACTTTTAATACTTTTATCCATTAACATGTGAATGTGAATGAATAAATAAGGAAGCATTCAAACTTACAAACTGATTTGAATTTGGTTTTCATAACCAAATTTAATTGAACTAAATTTAGAAGAATGTATTTATCTCTTAAAATTTATAGAAAATATAATTTTTTTCGTTTGAAAAACTCTCGCTTATCTTCCTATTTGGCAAAATATGTACTAACCCCTCGAGGTGTTATTTATTAAATTAATCTTAAATGAAAAAAATAAATACACTCTTTTAATTTTTAATCATTTATTTCTCTATTTATGTATTCTTTCTTTTGCTCAAAATTTTTTTACAACTACAAAATAATGAAAATTTAATTAATTTTAAATTCTCTTTAATGATTATTAAATTAAATTTTAATTCAAATACATGTTAAATATTTTTAACTTATCTTCAATTCAATTATATATTTTTATTTAAAATACATTATTTAAAAAAGTTTTAGCTAGAAAAGAAATTGATTAAAACATAAAAGGAAAAAAAAAAAAAAAGGAGCCAATAGGCTTTGGCTTAGTGGTAAGAGGTTTTAGAACCGAACGTCTTAATTTTAAATCTCGTGAGTGCGGTTATTTAAATATAATATATTTTTTTAGTTGATTAATTAATGATTATAATTTGATTATGATTTAATGATTATATATGAGATTTTATTGAAAATAAATTTACCAGTTTGAAAAATACATTGTATCCCTCTAGAAAGTAACCATTGTTAGGATTCCATTAATTAAAGTAAAATTTGTTTAAATTTTACTTTAAATATTAAAAAATCCTCATTTTGTTTATATTTTTCCCTTTTTTTTTCATTTCTTGTTTTAATCAATTTCTTTGTCATTAGTTTTTTTAATTAATTTTAATTAATTAATATTAAATAAAAATAACATAATACATTAACTTATTTCATAGAATATTTCGTAGAATATTTCTTAGAAATTTATTTAAAATCTAATTTGATAATAATTAAATTTAATTATAAACTTATTTAACTTGATTAAATTCATGCATTCATCTAAAATGTTCTTTTTTTTTTTTTATGAAGTAAATTTTAGTAATTTTAATTATTTTTTTCATGCAAATGCAATTTGGTCAGCTATATTATCACAGTTAACTTATTTTTATTAAAATTTTGAAGCATTGGCTTCTATCATTTTAAACATTTTAATAGATCAAATTTTATATAATATATATTTAAAAAAGTATTTCATTCAGTATTAAAATATATATATATATATATTTTTCATATTTTTATCATCAATAAAAATTACCCTATAAGCAAAACACATCGTTTTGGTATTCACTAGCATTTTGTTTATTTATTTATTTATTTATTTTGTTTCTTCACCATTTCAGCTCAGTTCAGTTCTCCATCTCAAGACCTGAACAATTCTCTTTGCCTTCTTCTCCACATTGTAAGTCAATTTACAATTTGTTATTATTTTTTTATTGTTGGAATTTAATGATGATGGAGAAAGTTTGGCTTATGGGTACACATGGCTGCTTCAAAATAATGCCAATGACTTGTACGTTTTCAATTGAAATCAACTTTCAATGGGGGAAGTCACTTCCCAACAAAATTCTATGTTTTGTATTAGTCATTGTTCAATTCATCAGAGATAGCCAGCAATTTTGACCCTTTTTTTGTTTTCCAAGTTTAAAAGGGTTGATGTTTTAAGAATCATTGTGATTAAAAATTTTACTTGTTTGACTGGTAGATTTCTGGGTCAGGTTTAGTTTTGAATTTTCTGCCTTTAATGTTGTTGCAACTATACCTAGATGGAATTATGGGAAAAAGATTTGGTCAATTATTGTTTGTTAGATGAATTAAGGTACAGAATCTTCTTAATTTTTTAGTGAATAAGTACAAATATCTCCAAGGAGATACTCAAATGTTTAGAACTTGAGATTCTAATAGGGAGGTCTTTATCGATGGGGGCAATGGGGATGATATAATAGCCTAAAATGTCTAGGAGACAACCCATTGGTTAAAATTTGAGATTTCAATTTGGAGGGTTCACGTTAAGAATCTAGAGATGGTGGGTTATTTCATGTCGTATAGCCAATCACCAATGGGTCTACAAATGTAAAAAGAAAGCTAATATCAGAATTAGGAAAATATCGAATCGATCAAGATTTAGGCTTTTTCTGGTGCATTGGATGATGTGTTGGATGGGAAAACTTTTATCTAATATTGTGTTTGATTCTATTTTTGGGGGAAAAATGGGATCATTAATTGGATTGAGCTATTCACTTCTTTTTCCTATCCTATCCTCTTAATAATCTACTGTTGTAAATTCTCGTAATGTTTACTGTTTAATTTATAGAGTTAGATTACATTCCTTATCTTTTTCTTAAAAAATAAAATAAAACTCCTCTATTTGTTAACATGTAATTGACAGGGGAAACGATTCCTGGATTTATTCAGTTCGAAAATGTTAGCCTTCCTATAACTGTTAAAAACTTTTCTTCCTTCTCGAATATGACGTACTATTATTGATTCATCATTTATAAACATCCATTCTTTTTGTTTCATGGATTTCGTTGTTTGGATGATGCAATACAATAATAGCTTGCCATGTTAGGCCAGAAATTAGTAAAGACTGAGTCAAAGTAGCATTATGGTAGGTTATACTTCTCTCTCTCTTTTTTTACTTTACTCTGAGGAATCATTATAGATGATTAGCTGGTTAAGTAGCTTTGAATTTGTCAACTACCTGAAATAGTTAAGCAGTTAACATTCTATTTCTAGAAGTATAGTTATGGCTACTTTCTTTTTTTATTTTTCTATTTAAATGTATGCTTCATTCCATCATAAGTCCAGTTCTGTAGTTGACACTTCACATATTTGGTATTTCCACCCTGTTAGGCGCTTCTTGCCTACCGCAAGGATCAATCAAGTGTTGTTATATATATGAGCTTAAGAGCAAGTTTCTTGAATTCATTGGATAAATTTCTTATATTTTGTCTTTCCCTTACGCTCTTGATGACCGCGTTTAGTTAATTTTGGGCTTAAGCTTAGATTGCATCAACTTTAGCTTCCAAACAATATTTTCTGTCATTAATCCTAGATTGATAGGTCATGTACTTGCTGACTTTTTAGCTGACATCTTATTCACAAAGAATGCAGCTTGGTTGTTATTGCCAAATTTTGTCATCTCTCCAAACGTAGACTTTGTGAGGAAGCAATAAAGTAAAAGCTGTCGCTAATGTATACAGTGGTGACTATGATTGTTAACCTAAACAGAATCGGATGTAGAATGACGACACTCTGGATTCAACTGAATTGTCTTGTTGCTCTCTCCTTCCTTTGGAAAAAATCTCGGCTTGTTTGTGAGTGCTGCTTTTGCATTTCACGTTGTCTTTCTAGCTTCATGACTTGATTTTACTGGTTTTACTTCAAACTCTGAGAAGGTGCCTTCATGTTAAATTATTGGACGTGGTTTTGAGAACTATTGGAAAATTTACCATAACTATCAATGAGATATCTGTGTTTCTTTTACAAAACAGTTTGGGAAGGTTAATATCATCCCTAAAGATACGTTTTCTCTTTACATGTTCCTGTCAAATTTGGCAAACATTTTGATTTCTTGATTTGTTAGTCATGGTTAGTAATTTTGCAGCTAATGTCATCGAAGATGCTTGCTTGTAATTGTTCTATTCCTGATCTTTACTGCATGTGTTGTTTGGGAAAATTGGATGGAACTCTCTTTTATTGGATCTGTGGAATTAACCTTAATGAATTTGTTTCTGCATTTTTTGAGAGGGGAGGAAGAAAAAGAAAAGAAAGTACTTTTTGAAGGAACAGTAACTATTTTTCTTGGTAACCTAGAACGATTACATGGTAATGTAAAATAAATGAAATATATGAATGGTTTCCTTGATAGCAAGTAAATATGGGCTAGACCATTAGAGAAGTTCTCATTTTAGTATTAAAATCCGAAATATTAGAAAACTAGTTGTAAATGCAACACACGCAACGTTTCAAGTTTGTTCTGATCCTGAACCAAGTTTATATGTTAGACAAG